GGGGGGACAGCTGGGGGGGGGGGGGGGGGGGGAATGAATTGGGACATTGAGATTGATATATATACACTAATATGTATAAAATAGATAACTAATAAGAACCTGCTGTATTAAGAAAAAAAAAAGAAATGTAGGCTCTGTGAGAGAGGAGGATTAACTACTATATCCTCAGAACCAAGAACATGTGCCTGCTCCATGGTAAGTGGTCAGTAAATATTTATTGATTAAATGGATGAATAAGAGGTTTAAAGAGTCACAAAGGTGTCTGTCTCCCTAAAAAGATCACAATAAACTACTTGAGGTCACCACCGCTGAAATCTGGGAATAGTGTTATATTTATTGAAAGGTGCCCTAACCTTCGGCTGAGAAAAAGTCACATGTGTTTGTGCTTCTGTGTGAAGTATCTATGTCTCTTTGGAAGTAATTAGAGGGCCTGATAGAGAGGAAAGGAGGCGTAGACAGGCAATATTATTTACAGTTGTAACCCTATTAAAGCCATGGTCCATGTGGTTCAGTCCATGAGAAACTTGAAATTCAAAGTGCTATCATTCAAATAGGAGTCCTAATAAGGTGTGCATCTTTCAAGCAACATAAATGGGACTAGTATTAAAATTCTCTGTTCTCTCCTATGGACTCAGAAATCTCTGGAACATCTCTTCCTCTCTCCAGAGCCATCTCCCTCATCACCTACTCCACTCAGCCTCTGTAATCCCTCTTGATTGACAACTCTTCCTCATCTCCATGCTTTGCCTTCCCACACAAAGGACTCCCAGTAGGTTATTTCCCTACTGCTTAGGGTTCTCTACAGAATAAGATATCCTCTGTGCTTTTTTGCTTTTTTCCTTCATCTAGTCTCCTAATTCAGCATCACCAGTGGAAAAGCCCTCTGTGGAGGATGAGGGAGGGGAAGAGTAGGCAAAGTCCAAACTGTTCTGCACACAGAGAGGAGGGGAAAGGCTGTGGACATGTATAGAAAGATACTTTCATCCTTTCAGTCATAACTTGACTGTCGTGCCTAACTAGAGTGTTGCTCCCAATTCTACAGTAGTTTTAAGAGTCCACTAAAATCCTATTTTTCAAATAGCATATATCTATCTACAAAAGAACTTTTACTTTCCAGAGAGGAATGGCATTTATAAATCCATAGGCCAAGATTAGAGCAATGTTTCATCACAGCTCTTAGCTTGCTACATTATTTTTTAGCTTATTTTCTAATTCAAACCAGCATTTAGTCATTTTGTGCAAAATAGATTTAGGACCTAAATCCTTATCTGTAAATAGATTTAGGATCTATGGTCCTTTTTTCCCAGCACAGCCTAATTGGCTCGTACTATATTAAACTGAAAATGCTCACTTGCTGTAGCCACCCTCCTTGTGCACATCAAAACTTCTCATGGTCACACTTCTGCCCAGATATTAATAACATGAGTGGGAAGGAGAATAAATGCATGAAGTGCTGCTGCTCAGTCTTTTTAAGCCTTTGGAGCTTTCGTCTTCTGCTTTGGCTGAAGATGAGGTGAAGATTAGGCACACTGGGAGCCCAGCTGTCTTAGGGAAAAACCCTAAAGGGAGAATCCATCAATTGAAACAAGTTTTTGGATCCCAAGATGGAAACCTAGATGGAACCAATTTTTACGCTACAGCACTGCCATCAGGACTGGGCACATCAGGATAACAAGAGGCAGATGGTTTTCAGCAAAACGAAAAATTCGAGGGCACCACACATACAGTCACAGTTTCCAAACTTTGAAGAAATTCTGCCCCTGAAAGTATATCTGTTTAATCTCTCCCAAGGCAAAAGGCAAGGAACCCTCAAGGGCATCATATATTTCTTTTAATAAAGAGTTGGCCCTTGTACTTTGTAGATGCAAACATTTATCAGTCTTACGGCCAGAGCAGTGGAAGTTTGCTCCTGGGAAGAGAGAGTTCAGGGAATGATGTTCCATTTATTGAAGGAAGAGGAAGATGCAGATCTAAAAAATGATAGTCCTGGAAATAGATATTCGCAGAGATGACCTAAGGAGACATTGGAACTGCAATAGTCCGAGGGCTAAGGGCATGTGCTCTAGATCAGAGGTGGCATCAGAAAGGCTGCGACGACCCTCAGCCCACAGATATGATTATTGGGTACTTGAAATGTTTAAAGAAACACATTTGAAATAAATAGATGCTGACATTTTAAAATTAGGAGATTTCACATAAAAAATATTCAGATTACTGACTAGAAAAAAATCAGAAGGCGCACACTTCTGCACAGCCTCAAAACGGAACTGAGTAGCCACCCCTGCGTTTGCTCTGGCATTTGCCATGACCCTTTCATGGCTTGTTTTACTCATTTGTGTTACCTTCCTTGCTTACAAAGCCATGAACCTCTTTTTCCTGGCCCAGTTCTCGTTTGGTCACTTAAAGTTGTGAATTTCTGTTCATATCACTTAAGGCTTTTGAATCTTTATCTACTTATCTTTACAGTAGAGATAATACTTTACCACAGTGTTGGGAAAGTTAAATAAGATATTGTATGTAAAGTGCTTAGCTCAAGGCCTGGCGCATATGTACTTCATATATATTAACCACTATTATTGTGAATGTTGTTCTTATTGAACAAGCCTGTCCAAACCCTTTTATTACTTCTCTTTTTAATATAAATGAGGAAATATGAAAGTGATGGCCACAGATATAAGCCTCCTATTGCTCAAATCTTTTGGGTCACTAGAAGTACTTTGAACAATTAGATTATGTAATTTGCCTAAAGCCATGTATAAACTGGGCAACTGTCTATTTCAATTAATCATCATAGGGAGACAGAGCTGAAAACTAAGGGTTCCATGGAGAAGTGTCATAGTGTGGGGCAGGCCAGAAGTGATGCAGAGGTCCATGGCCCCATCTGTTAGTTAGGTAAGGACACGCACTAATCACCCCTGAGAGTGTAGTATAGTGAAAGAACATCACAGCTGGGAGACATTCAAATCACATCTCTATCACCACTAGGTCACTTTGATCATAGAAATACTCTGAGTTTTGAGTTTCATTTTATAATTTGTAAGATGGAGATGGTGACAACCTATCTTATAGAATTATTGTGAATGTTAATTAAAATAATGAGCATTGGGCTTCCCTGGTGGCGCAGTGGTTGAGAGTCTGCCTGCCGATGCAGGGGACACGGGTTCGTGCCCCGGTCTGGGAAGATCCCACATGCCGCGGAGCGGCTAGGCCCGTGAGCCATGGCCGCTGAGCCTGCACGTCCGGAGCCTGTGCTCCGCAGCGGGAGAGGCCACAACAGTGAGAGGCCTGCGTACCGCAAAAAATAATAATAATAATAATAATAATAATGAGCATTTAAATGCTTAGCATACAGTAGCTCAAAACATAGTAATTATAAATAAGAGCCAAAGTAAATTATAATAGGTCATCTATTGAAAATAGTTAAAATCTTTATTGAAAAATAATAATCTTCAAGAGTTTAAAACTAAGTGGTGAACTATTGCAAAATGTGATACACACAACCTCAAATTAGTGTCATGTACTTTTTGAGCCCATTATAATTACCATTATTTACTGATCACTACTTCCATTAAAGCCTCATTACTGCCAATGACATTCCTGATAATGCTTCAGGGGGTTTGTTTGTTTGGTTTGTATTTAAAATTTGTCTCTTCCTAGTATGTGTAGTATTATGCCTTCTTTTAATTTTAATTTGGATGTAACAATTCTGCTTTAGCCCTCTTTTCTACTTCAGTCTAGTCTTAGCTGATCAGAACTGAGAGTTACAAATTCAATGTGTACATTCTATTAAAAATACTCTGGCAGTCTGATGCTTTGAAGTGACCTGGTCACTGCTTGCGAATGTGTCTTGGTCCTCAAAGTAGCCAGTGTGTTTGCTCAATCCAGTCTCTTTTCTCTTCAGCAGTCTTATTTCTAAAGCCTCTCTCTCTTTTTAACTTTTGCTGTAATGGAGGCTTAGGATAGCATTTTATCCACCTGGAATACTACCTGTAGTAACATAATCAGACAGTGACTCTCCAGCATCACGTGATGGCAGTGAGAAAGTGAATTAACTCATGCAAGGCTGACATTTATATATTTGTATAATGAAGGTGTCAGGGGCCAAATTGCAAGTATGATTCCCCACACAACCAATTATGTCTGTGATGAAAACATCCTCCTCTAGTGATCTATGTCATGAATGAGTTCCCTTTATCCTGCAAAGCTGGGTTGGCTATTTCTCTGCTCCTCAGAAAACAGCTCTGAGAATCCTGCTTGTGAGGCTGGTGACTCACCGGTGTTATCTTTGTGTACCAAGGCTCAGCTTTTCCTTTCCTGTACTATGCCCCAGTGTGACTAAGAACATTGTTTAAATGAAAACGATGTATTAAGACAAAGACAAAACTGCTTCAACATTGGGGGGAGGAGGAGTCGTGGAAATGGAAGTCTTTAAAAAAGAGAAAAGAAAAACTCAAGAAGGAAAATGTAAACCTTGGACACAAAATAATCATACTCTACTATTTCATGAACTGATTTCTTTGTTTTTTCTCCTTAAATGTAAGTTGGTCAAAGCTTAATAAGGAGGGGAAAACATGTAACATGTTCTCCTCTTGCCTTTCTGGGCTCTTGTAATTTTTATTAGGTTCCTAAAAGATTGAAGAGAATATATTTTAACTGCTTGTTAAAGCCAAAGTCCCTCTGACATTTCTTCCCATATCCATAAAGTTTTATGAGTTTCCTTATTTTGAAGCCCCGCAAAGTAAGAATACTCATCTTAAAACAAGACAGAGTTTTTTATTGCTCCTCTGCAGAGCAAGAACTCCCCAAGGACACTGCCCTACAGACCTCAGGCTTCATTCTCCAGTTTCCTGCAAGGCTGCCAATTGGTCAGACTTAGCCCTGGGCTCCTTTCTGTCGCCTCTTCTCCCCATCCTTTGTTTATTCATTCCTTCCTACTTCCCCTCTCCCTTGCTCTTGGTGAATTCCCAAACCCTCTCTTCTTCAGGGGTAATAATACTTACAGCTGGACTGGGTATCTTTTGATTTTGCTTGTCTATCCTCTCTGTGCTCTGGTAGCAGAACCTCTTTTGTTCCATTTGGTGATCCATCCATGTGATTTTGGTAAAGCTATCAATCAAATGGAAGTGGAGACATGACCCAATCAGGATATCCATGCTTTGGACCCAATAACAGTTCCAGGAGTGGGCACTGATGGAGGCAGGACCAATAGGGACCTGGGGAAAGAGTTTCAAGCTATTTGGAATCACTAGCTATGGAGATTCATGTGCTTGCTCGGGAAGCAGCTCACCTCTTTCACTGGAAACTCGCTGTGAGAATGGTAAAACCAAAGTTGCTATGACCATATTTACGGTCAGAGTCAAAGCTGCAAGAGGGAGACCTCACTTCATTTGAGTTCTGGACTCAGCCATGTCTGGGGCCAACTGCTCATCTTCAACTTCCATGTTCTGGGAACCAACAAAATATCTTTTAGGGCTTCCCTGGTGGCGCAGTAGTTGAGGGTCCACCTGCTGATGCAGGGGACGTGGGTTCGTGCCCCGGTCTGTGAGGATTCCACATGCCGCGGAGCGGCTGGGCCCGTGAGCCATGGATGCTGAGCCTGTGCGTCCGGAGCCTGTGCTCCGCAATGGGAGAGGCCACAACAGTGAGAGGCCCGCGTAACGCAAAAACAAACAAACAAACAACAACAAAAAAATATCTTTTAGTGTAAGCTTGTTTGAGTTTCTGTTACTTACAACCAGAAGAGCCCAGATTCTTTTACTGCTTTAAGAATTTAGCCATCTAGTAAGGAAATGCATCACTACAGAGAAAGGCAGACTGTGAAAAGTGAATGGGAGGGACCTGCAGAAATCACGCAGGGGGCATACAACTCAGAGGATTAATTACGACTGAGGACGCTGAGGAAAGCTGCAGTGAAGGAAGAGGTAGATTGGAGCTGGCCATTGTAGAGTACGTAGAATTTCCAATGGTGGCGAGGAGGTGAGAGTAGAAGGAAGTAGCAGTGAGAAAGGGCATCATGCTCAGAAGGGACAGTGTGAGTAAAGGCCTGGCGTGTTAGAGGATTGATGAGTGGTTCAATGGGGCAGGACCTAGTGTATGTGGATGTATGTTTGGACAGGTAGTCAGTAGGCTGGAGTCAGATACTGGTGCCCTTTGGAAACCACTCTAAGGAGTAAAGCTATTATTCTATAAGCAGGGAGGAGCTGCTGCTGTTTTCCATAATAGGATTAACGTGATCAGATCTATGTTTCAAGAAGAAAACTCTGCCTCCTGCCCTGGGCTCAGTCATAATTTTCTGGAGGATGGCCTCCCTGGCCTCCCCAATTCAATGTATTGCCTCTGTTATCTATTCCTGGCATCCCCTCCCACTCATGCAAAAGGTGCAAAACCTGAGCAATGAATTTCTGAAACAGTTCTGAGACTTAATCAGAGGATAAGGTTAAGGAAGGTGACATACCCTGGTCATCACGTTTGAGGGCATTGGCACCAGTTGCGTGACTCAGGCGCATCACTGGATGTAGGGGGCCCTGTTGATGCCTCACCCAGATTCCCTACCCCAGTTAGGTGCAAGCATTCCCCCGCTAACGTTGATGAGAACGATGTGGATGATGTTGGTGATACTGATGATGGCTCTTGGCTGCTGCAGCTCACAGCTGCCCTTTTACCAGAGAACTGCCTGAACCCCAACCCCTGCCTGCAACCAATGACTGACTCACGTAGAGTATAAATGTCAAGCCCCCATGCCTTATATCAGTTAAAACTGTGGTATTTATTATTTATGCTCTAGGACTCTCCCAAGATTCCTTGCTTCTATCACTTCCTCAGTAAATCACCTGCACAAGAAAACCCATCTCAGGCTCTGCTTCTAGGGAACCTGACCTAAGACATTTGACCTGATTTGAAAAATGGGGTTGTTGTAAGGCTTAAACGTTAATGTAAGTAACAAATAAGTAAAAATCAGCTGATATAATTAAGTAAGTAAAATTGAATACATGTTAATATAAGTGAAACACAATAGTGCCTGCCATACAGCAGGTGTTAAGTATTTGTTTTTATTAATGTTATAATATTACTTCTCCAAATATCTCATGAATCTCTTTGCTCCTCTTTGATCCCACCACTATTGCTCTAGGCTAGACTTTCGTTACTTGTTATTTTGATTAAATAGAGCTCTTACCAGATTTCTCCTCCCTCCCTCCCTCCCTCTTTTCTTCTCTTCTACAAATATTTGAGTGTTTATTATATACCAGGCACTGTTCTAGGGATAAATTTGGACAAGTTACCGAACTGAGCCTCAGTTTACTCATTTGTAAAATAGGGATACTGTAAATCTACTATACAGGGTAGTGGTGGAATTGAATGAGAAAATATTCATAAAGCACTTAGCTCATGCCTAGTAAGCACTCTATAACCGTTCTCTTTTTGCTTCTTTCCTGCTTATCATTTTCTGGCATGTAGACAGCAGAGACACCCACAGGGGTATTATTTACTGCTTGTGGACTCTATTTGACAGATATGTTATTCCTCTATTTAAAGGACCAGTAATAGAACTTCTCTAATAATGATAACCTTGCTTTTCCCAATTAAAGCACTGTGATCCCTGCATATATTATTGTAAGGTGCATGCTGCAATACATGTCTTGTCAAACCATGAATTGATGTTAAGTGCCATGCTGTGAATTTCCATCAAGGAGTCATCTTGAGCAGGTTAGTGGTCTCCTGCATGTCAAAAGTCCACACCTGGCCCTCTGCAGGCACCGCTCACAGTAATGAGAACGTGGCTATGATGAAAGCCTGCATGCTGAAAGCAAGCCCAGATAGCAGGGATGAACTTGAGAGTAAAGCAGAATTTGAACCCTGTTATGTAAATGGTGCTTTCAGTTCCCTTGATCTTTGTGAAAAAATGTTTTTTTAATTCTGCCTCTTTCAGTGCAAGTTCAGGGTTTCACAGTCTCCTGGGCTCCTTTTGAGGTCTGCCATAACTTAAGTGAATAAAACAGAAAAGGAGAGAAATTTCTCCCGGATTCCGGCAGAAAGCAGACAGAAATTAGCACAGCACTGGGTGAATTTGATGTGTTGAGGTTGCGGATCATATCTTACCCATGGTGAGAGCAGTGTGTGTGTGTGTATGTGTGAACTCACACTGAATCACTTCTACACTTTCATTTTATTTTTGCATTTTCCCCCCTCTACATTTAGTTCATTTTAGTACTCTTCACTTTGGAAAATGACCATATAGGAGTTATGCCCTATAACATATGTCCTATGACACTTTTTTAAATGTCAAATACAAGATAGTCAATGGAGTCTAAAATGCACTGGTTTTTTTTTCTTTTTTAGCCATGACTTTTCACACTGATATGTTAAGACAGCATGTATTTCTTTTGATTTATACAATCCCAAGTAAATGCTGTCTATCATCACAGTTATTATAGTGTTTAAATAGTTGGGACATAAATATGTTTTAACCTGAATTTCTTTCTTAATATTAGAGCTTCTAGCAGTTTTTGATTCTTTCATGTAATTAGGTGGCTTAGTTGAGAACAAGATGCCACTAACTGAACTATAAAATAAATATGAATACAAGATGGAATGGTTAGAAATTAATAAGGAATTGTCTTGAAATTGTAATAAGTTTTGAAATTTATATTTAATTACTTACAGTATTTGCTCTAAGAACCTACATCTGAGGAAAGTTGAAAGAAAGATCCTAATACTCATTACAATCATGTTTTTATATATTGTCCCTTTCTTCCCAAGCACTACACGTGCTTCAGAGACATTGTAGCTGAATCAATAGGAGGAAAGGAGTGGGTCTGTATAATGCCTGACTTGAAAGGAAAAAGGGTTAACAGGTTAGTAATGGGAACACAAAAACATAAATAGCACAGGGCCAAGAGGGTCAATTTCTATTATAGCCTTTACAGAAAAACAACTGTCTGTGTATTTTATTACATATTCATTAAACATTTTATATATTCATTAAACATACTGTAGCATCTGATATGTGCAAATCTCTGAGCTAGGTGCAACGGAGTTAAAAAATCAGAATCTTTCATGGTCCTTGGTCTTGGGGAGATGAGGGTCTCGTGGTGCTCACACACATCAGACCACAGCCAAGGGCGTGTATGGGCTCTGTGAGAAAAGCTCTGAGGGTGTCTGAATGTGAAATTACCAGCTTCCAGGCTCCACCTGTAACTGCTGCATCACAATGCAAACTTAGCCCAGTAACCAAGTCCATGTAAGAGAGTCCTACCTGCTGAGTTTTGATCTGGGAGAGCAGACAGAGGCTCCTCTCAGTATGCATTGTTCATCCTTCCATCCCTTCACTAATTCACATGTCCACTTAGAAGATTCCTGTTGGGCATGGTGAGAAGTAGTGCATTGGGTGTTGAACTAAATAGGAGTTGTGTGAGGAGCTGAAAACAGAGCAGTGAACCAGAAAGAGTCATGACACTTACATTCTCATGGGGGAAATGGACACTTAGCAGCTATCGCACAACTCATAAGCTGTATCTGTGATAAGGAAGAACAAATCTGACTCCATGTTAGATCTGTTCCTTTTACTTGAACCTTCTGTGCTTTGTTGCCTGTGCTTAGTCATGCTGGCCCTGCACTTTTGTAAAAGAATGTTGCCTACAGCCTGAAATATACAGGATAGCCTATTCACAGGGCTCTGACCCTTAAGAGTCCATCCGAATAGAGATAAAAAGTTGCAGAACAGAGAATAACATTTGTCTTGTTGGAGGTTTACAGGAACATGGTGACCTGACCTACCTGGACAGCTACAAGAACAAAGAATTCCAAAACCAAGAAATTTGCAACAACTAACCATGACTCTACCTCACCTTGCCTTTAAAAATGCTTTGCTAAACCCTTCCGGGAGTTGGGGGTTTTTTGGCCATGAGCCACCTGTCTCCTTGCATGGCCCTGCAATAAACCTGTCTCTGCTCTAGACCCTGACATTTCGGTCTGTTTGTGCATCGGGCACACAAACTTGCATTCAGTAACGGTACCTGTGATAAGAGCTTCAAAGAAGAAGTATAGATTACAAAGGGGATGGGGGGAGGACACTGAATCTGG